TGAAATGAGAAAGGAATAAAAAAAATTGAGTAAAATTTCTCTTTTTCTTTTCAATTCTCTATTAAAATTTATAATTCAAACACAAAGTAGCTTATCATTTGAGAATAAAATTGTGATTTTTACCATCTGTATCAATTAACTATTTTTGCCTGCATACAACTTTTCATAGTTCTCCTTTTTTTTCTTTTTCTTTTTTTCATTCATGATGGTTGAACATTTAGGCTTTTTTTCCAAGAAAAATTCACTTTAAATTGGTTAAAATAGACCATATCAAATGTAAATAAACTATATCAATTGTGAAATGAGATTTATAAATGGGATTTGAGATAGATGAAGAGAGAAGAAATTGAACATAGCATACTGTGTCAAGGCAATAATGTTGCTTGTGCTTAATTTGTTAGGCAACGAGTCTGACTAATTTTTTTTATTTTATTTTAGGTACATTTGGAACTGATTAATATAGTTAAAAAAATCAAATTATTATTGAACAGTATAGAGGAAAAAAAAAACCAACTCATATAAAAAGTTAAAAGTTACTTTTCTCTTTAGAGACAGGGGAGTAGAATGGAGGAAAGCGAAAGAGTGGGAAGGGTAAGGGAAAGGACAAATGAAGAGCGAAGAAATCTTTGGCGTTTTCCTTCTAGAGAGAGAGGAGAGAGGGGGAAGGGGAGGATACACATGTAAACAGAGAGAGAGAGAGAGAAGGGGGGGGAGAGAATATGATTTGTAGAAAGATAAAAAAAGACTAGTATAAAAACTGGGCTACGCCTAGGGGATAGAGGATAATTTTAGAGAGAGAAACAAAAGGGGGAGAGAGAGAAACAAAGAAAGAAACTGTGAATTAGAAAAAGGGAAGGATTACAAAACCCCAAAACCCCTACTCCAATCACACAATTGCACTGAAATAGCAAACAAAACCCATATGGTCAATTTCACTGCACATGTATATCTATTGAGAGGGTAATTTATACTTATAAATTAGGCCGAGCTGGGTAATGGGCTGTTATTGTAACGCCCCGACCCTTTACACGTCAAAATGTTTTTTTATGGCAATAATTTTTTTTTAAAAAAAATTGACATTTTACCAAAAAAAAAAGTGCATGTGAAATGAAATGAATCTTTCATTTTTTTATGAATTTAATTTTTTTAAACTTTTTAACCTTTTTTATAATTTTTTAATTTTTTTACTAAAATAATTTTTTCGTAATAATATATGTGGTATCCCAACATATTTTTATTGCTTAACAGTTGTATTCACTACTTTTATGTTTTTATCTTTTTGTTTGTTTGTTTTTTTTTTTTTTTTTTCCCCCAAAGACAATAAGGTAAATAACTTCATAAGTCAAATGAGAATGTTCTAAAACGTGACCACAGCATTTTTGTATTTGACCAATGTTGGGATTACAAAATTTTCTACTAAAATTTTTACCAAACAACTAAATAACTTCTTCTTTGTAAGTCAAATGAGAATTCACTAATAACATGATCACAACATTTTTGTCTTTTAATTTTAAAGTGAAACTTGCTTATCAAAAAATAAAAAATTTAAGGTGAAACTTTAATAATATAACTTTTTTATATAAGTGAATCTCACCTTTTTATGCGCACCATTCCACTCATATAAAAAAATTATGTCTGATTTTATAATTAGTTTCTGTACATATAAAAAAAATTGTTATAAATACATTAATTCAATTAGAACATTTAGATTTAAGGATTTATGTAAAATTCCAAGTATCAGTGCAAGTGGTGCAAAAATGATAACTTTTGTGCTCAACAAAAATAAGCAGCAAATTAAGCTCTACTAAAACCAAATTTTTTATTTTTTTTTATTTTTGGGGCAGATGGTAATGAAGAGACTTAACCAATTTTTGAAAGTCAAATAATTAAAGTAATATTTGGATCATGGATCAGAATAGGAAATTGAAATGAGAAAGGAACAAAAAATGAGTAAAATGTGATCAAAATAGAAGTAAAATTTCTTTTTTTCTTTTCAAATATCTATTAAAATTAATAATTCAAACACAAAATAAATTATCATTTGAGAATAAAATTTTAATTTTTACCATCTGTATCTATTAACGTGTTTCTTCTTATATAAAACTTTTCATAGTTCTCTTTTTTTTCTTTTTCTTTTTCTTTTTTTTCCTTCATGATGGTTGAACATTTAGGCTTCTTTCCAAGAAAATTTCACTTTAAATTGATTAAAGTAGACCATATCAAATGTAAATAAACTATATCAATTGTGAAATGAGATTAAATCTTTGTGTTATAAATGGGATTTGAGATAGATGAAGAGAGAAGAAATTGAACGTAGCAAAGGCAATGAGTCTGACCAATTTTTTTTATTTTATTTTAGGTGCATTTGGAAACTGATTAATATAGTTAAAAAATCAAATCATCATTGAAAAAGTATAAAGGAAAAAAAATTCAAGTCATATAAAAATGAAAAGTTGGTGTTCTCGTTAAAGACAGAGGAGTAGAATGGAGGAGAGCAAGAGAGTGAAAAGGGTGAGAGAACAGACAAATGAAGAGTAAAGAAATCTTTGGCATTTTCTTTCTAGAGAGAGAGAGTAAAAAAAAAGGAGAAAGAGAGAGAGAGAGACTAGGGGGATACAAATGTAGAGAGAGAGAGATTTCTTTCCAGAGAGAGAGTAAAAAAAAAGGAAGAGAGAGAGAGACTAGGGGGATACAAATGTAGAGAGAGAAAGGGAGAATGATTTGTAGAAAGATAAACAAAAGACTAGTACAAAAATTAGGCTACGCCTCTTGCACAAAGGGGAACAGATGACGGTAGTACAGGTGACACGCCTCTTGCACAAAATGTCTCAGATCTGTTGAATCTCTTTGTATTATTTGTAAGTGATTTTTTTAACAGATTTGTTGTGTTTGATCTGTTGTGGATCTTAGAGGAGTGGCTTTCAAATTTTTTTTATTTTTTTTGCTACCTGGTTTGTTGTTGTTCATGATCTAATTATCTTCTTCTTTTTTTTTTCTTCATTGCTATTACTGTTGATGATAATTCCAACAAATAGTGGCTGAAAATATGTGTTGTCATTCAGCAGATAGATGTGTTTATGCTTTCTCAGATCTGAATTTTTTGGTTTAGGGTTTGTTGTTGTTGCTGTTGTTGTTGTTTAGATAGGTTTAAAAGAATTTATATTAGATATAATCAATTTTGAACAGATAGATTTCAAGAGATAAGGAAAGAAATGATAGATTTTAAACACACATATAGACAGAGAAAGAGAGAGAGGGAGAGAGAAATTCATAGATTTTAAATAGATAGAGAGAGAAATCTACAAATTTTCAACAGATAGGGAAAAAATTGATGTTGATGATGATGATTGCAACAGATAAACAAAAAAGTTAACATGGATTTTCAACAAATAGAAAAAAAAATTAAATAGATAGATAGAATTTAGGGAAAATTTTGAACATATAGATAGAATTTATGGGGGAAATTGAAAAGACAAATATAAAATTGAACAAATGAATAGAATTTAAGGAAAAAATTGAATAGGTAGATAAAATTTAGAAGAAAAATTGAACAGATAGGAGAGAAAATTGAACATATAGTCAAAAATTTGAACAGATAGATATAAATTTGAATAGATAGTCAACGAAAAATCAAACCAATAGAAAAAAGTCAATGGGTAAAAACTGGAAACAAAATGTCTTCTAGGAATTCTCACCAAACTATTTCACAAAGAGTGAATTTCTCACTAACAAAAAGTATTCGCTAGACTAATGTCTTACACCCTCCTTAGATTAGATTTATTAACAATTTTCTCCGTTTATAATACCAAAGGGTTAATCCACTACTATTATAATAGTGTGAAGAGCCTGTCACGTATCTTACTTTTTTTAAGTCTTAATTTTATCCTCTCAAATTTACTATATTTTTTAAAAGTCGTGAAGAGTGATATATAAACCAACTATCTCTTTATTTTTGGACTTGAACACTCAAAAATATTATATTTGCTTTCAATTGAAATTTGAAACTGTGGTAATTGCTTCCTCAAGATTAAAATTAGAACATTTAACTAGGATTTGGAAAATAAAATGAGGAAACAATGAAAATTTTAAATTTGAATTTAAAAATAAAAATAAATAAATAAATAAATAAGAAAGAAATTCTGTTAACCCAAAACTTCAAATTAAAAATTAAAAAAAATACAAAAACGAAAAAGAGGAAGAAGTACAAGTAACCCAACTGATAACTAAAATTGACAGTGAAAATATTAAATTCTACTTTACTGTTTTGGTTTCTATAATCACATTATTTCAAACAACATATTTAAGATTTCAATAAGCAAAACTACAGAAGAATTGCTAGACTTGTAACCAATGGTACCCATAGTTCTAAAAAACGATCAGTTTGCAACATGCTGGCCAATTCATACTAAGAAAATTAGGTCCCGTTAGGGATACCCATTGGTGTCGTAGTGTGAACAAAAATCACAACCGTATCGATGAGCACCCATTACGTAATGGGTCGTAACCATTTTTCAAACCGCGATGGACAGATACTCTCTGCGGCAAAGGTATGGTATATAAATGGACAGATTGAGCCAATCTCTAGATTAGATAATTAAATAATGAAATTAAACCTCAGTTATATAACATTTATTTCTTTTATTTTTTTTAACACGTATAAATTAATCTCGTGATATATAATAATTTTTTTTTCTTCTTTTATATTAGCAAAATATTAAGAAGATATATACTTCTAATATTTAAAAGAAAAATAATACATAACATCTATTTTTTTTTCATTTTAAATTTTTTTTAAACATGTGTAAATTAATCTCATGATGTATAACCGTCTCCTCTTTTTCTTTTCTTTTCTTTCTTTTTTTTTTTTTCTCTTTTGTATTTGCAAAATCATAAATGAAAATATAATTCCAATGTCGTATCTAAACAAAATTAAAAATGATCTTAGAAAAATAAAATAAATAAACTTCAAATAAAAAATAAAATATATTTCAAACATCATCTGACAAAATAAATAAACTTCAAATAAAAAATAAAATATATTTCAAACATCATCTGACGACATTGTTCTATAAATATTAGTTTAGATATTAGCTTAGAATATTAATCTAGACATATACTAAATCAAGTAACAACATAATTGTCAATATCCAAAGTTTTTGACGTCAACAAACCAAGTTCAGCCTAACCAACACAACCCTACCACCACCACACATGTACAAAGATTCTAATATTTATATTCATTTTGTTTCATAGTAGCACACCCTTCCAACAACTGACTGGGACACCATACGCATATTACCTTCGTGAAATCCTCATCTCACCTGCAAGTAACCAAACTATACGATCAGCAATAAAACAGAGGAAACTATACGATCAGCAATAAAACAGAGGCATCTAAAGCAACCACTTGTTCACCAATGTTGGATTATACAAAACACTTTTATGGCTGTACAGTTTTATATGTGATCAAAACAAATATGCAAGTGCTTGCAACATCAATTTTTAGTGTTCAGCTACTGCTTCACCCACTATATTTGCCGGTTATTAGTATAGATTTTATTCAAAATAAGATGCAGGATAGTAAAGCCATTTGTTTAGACTATGGGCAACCCAAATTGGCGTTGGCTCTCAGAATCTCTAATCATTTCAAGTTGTATCCTCAACTTTTACTCGGCCATCTAAACATTTCCAGCTCGTAAATGCCCAGGCTCTAAGTCTATGTATGTCATTAGACTACCTTCTTGTAAAACATGACTAGTCAATACACCAAATACAAGAAAAATTGAAGACTGTTATTACACAAATTACAAACACAAACCTCATAGAAGGAAAGCTGATGAATTTTATTGCATTGAACGAGAAATTTGGAAATATCAAACTGAAATGATCAGTAAGAATAAATATATATAGACACATACATACAAACACACAAGAATAAATGAAAATGAAAATTAACATACTCATAAATAACCCTTTCTAAACACAAAGTTACTCAGATCTAAAGTTGTAAAATCTGATTACATAATGACTCAGCTTATTTATTTTTGTTTTTAATTGGTTTCCTAATATCAGATCAGGATATTGTTCTACATGCAGACCACATTTACTTTACTTCTTTTTATACGGATACAGTCAAGAACAATACAACATCAAGCACAACTCTTTCAACACTAGTAGAAATATAAAACATCCCTATCAAATTGCTTGATTAAGGCCTTGTTTGGCAAAGGCTAAAATTCGACTTTTTAAGCTAAAATTCACAAAAAGACAAAAGGCTAAAATAGCCAATAAGACAAAATGTCACATCAAACTCATAATCATTTCACTTTTTCTCTTACAAACATCACATCTAACTACAAAAAAATCAACCATCTTCCCAAACACAAAAATTTTAGCCTACTAAGGTAATGAAAAACTAAAATAGCCTACTAAAATAGCCAACTTCCCAAACAAGGCCTAACTGTGCAGAGATAAAATTGAATAACTGTCCTGTAAGGCTATGATTCGTAAATTGTTCATCTATCATCTCAAAGAACTTTGATGTGATATAAATTGGAATTAATTTTTGAAATTGGGATGCACATGCAAGACATAGAATTAATATTTGATCTTTGTATCCCGCTAACAACAAAATCAAAAGAAAAATATTAGAAGTTTCACCTAAACTCAGCATTGTTGAAACAGATATGGGAACGAAAAAAAAAAACAAAGTCAAAATGTGTAACTAAAATACAAACATGTTAAGAGTGTGATGCATAGGATACAAAAAGGCAATGCAGATGAGCATTGCATTAACACGGAACAATGATCCATGTGAAACCATACATAACATGGATGTGCTGAAGAAAAAATAAAAATGAAAAAGAATGTCATTATAGCAGAAAACTAAAAATTAAGAATAATGCTATATGTACCAATTAATGTACTAACTAGTATACTAACAGATGATATGGCATAATTTTAGAAGTTTTGGGTATTTGTAATTTGTATAATAGGTGGAGTCAGTAATAATAGCAATTGTTGAAACAGATATGGGAACGAAAAAAAAAACCAAAGTCACAATGTGTAACTAAAATACAAACATGTTAAGAGTGTGATGCATAGGATACAAAAAGGCAATGCAGATGAGCATTGCATTAACACGGAACAATGATCCATGTGAAACCATACATAACATAGATGTGCTGAAGAAAAAATAAAAATGAAAAAGAATGTCATTATAGCAGAAAACTAAAAATTAAGAATAACGCTATATGTACCAATTAATGTACTAACTAGTATACTAACAGATGATATGGCATAATTTTAAAAGTTTTGGGTATTTGTAATTTGTATAATAGGTGGAGTCAGTAATAATAGCATAACACTAGTTGGTACACTAGTGTGTACATTAATTGGTGCATGTAGCACCACCGAAAAATTAATCGTTAACAAACAATCAATGTGCTAATAAATAACACATAAATTAACCATCCACACAATTGGTTCAACTCGACTAAGACTTAATTAAAAAAAGACATAAATTAGACTTCCACATTTCACTAAAAGCATAAATGGCATTCACATCATAGATGGTCACCAATATATCCTTAATGTTCAGAGATTTTATTAAATAGAAACTCCAATCCCATTTCGACTATACCTGATTTCAGCCATACACCAACAACATAAAAGTCCAAATTCCAATGTTACCTTGTACAAAATAAGTAGGAAAAGTAACCAATTAGTCCTATTTTTCCTAGAAAAATACTAACAAGTCCTATAAATTTTCTAGTAGGACAATTAAGTCCTACTTTGAAAATTTTGTTCCAAAGTAGTTCAATACTAAAATTCTTTCTTTCAACTTTACCCCTTGTCATGGCCTTTAATCACTACACATAACTCAGTGATCATTGGCACATTTCTATCATCCTTTTCTTCCTTTCTCTCATCCATCTTTACCAATTCAACATTAATTTTGATCCACAGGTAATCCCCATTAACAACCCAGCCATCATGAACAATTGTATTTGTTGTTGTCAAGAAAAATATGAATCAATAAAAAGGTGAATTAAAGGCAAAATATGATTATTTTTATATAAAATAATAAAACAAATAAAAAAATATAAAAAATTAAACATTAATATTTAAAAAAAAAATCCCAATATATAAAAAATAAAAAAAATTCTAATCCCCTCACTATTTTTCTAATACCATCTCTATCTCCTCCTTACCAATCCTCCTTCCAAGGGGACTACTAATACCAAGGGATTAATAGTCCCCTCCTCATCTCTCAAAACAAACACCCCATTAGTAATACCAAAGGATTAGTAATCCCAATCCCCTCCCTATAACCCCAAACAAACGGGGCCTATGAGTATACTGATATTGACAACACATGTTTGCTGCAAATGCCAGGAGTTAGCTATAAAGCAAGCTATCATTTTTGCTCCCAAGGCAGATGACGCAAGAAATACCAGAGTAGGTTTCGTTGCCATCAATGTCACAAGGACAAAGCTAGAGTGAGACGTATAGAGCGATGCTTTAAAAGGCAAAAGTGCAACGCAAGGCTATAGAAACAGAAATTGGACATGGATGTTGCCATTGAAGGGATTAGAGAAACCTAGTGCTCTCCCAAAGATGAGAAATCTCCTGGCCCCAATGGCTATAGTGCCATGTTCTTCAAGATAGCTTGGCCTGTCATTTATAAGAATGCATGTATTCTATCACATCATTCCTTTTCTTTTCTTTTTTTCAATTCTGGTGATGGTATCTTGAAAGAAATTACCTCTACACTGATCACTTGGTTGGTTCCTAAGGTCCCTAATCCTACAAAATTAAATGAGTATGACCCATTTGTTGCTGCAAAACAACACCCTATACAAGCATATCCAACAACAGATTGAAGTCCCCCCTCCCATCTATTATTGATCCAGCCCAATCAGCCTTTGTTTCAAGGTCAATTCATAGTAAACACAGATTTTCCATCAACAGAAAGGTATTGAACCGATCAATTACCACACAATTCCATTAGGACAAATATGCCACCAAAGCAAACAAAACTTGATATCAACACGGAATATACTTGATATAAAAACAGCATAAATGCCAATAGAGGAGGCATGGAAAGGTGCCAGACCAATAAACATCATTACATAGGCACTAATGATATACCCAAAGTAGTTAAATTTACCTTGATTAGGTGCTAGTTTTCAGCCTAGAAATGAGTACTTCAGTGTGGGCGATCCCATCCCAGACACAAGCTTGAAATTCCGTAGTACCACCATCAACAGCAGCAGCAGCATCCCTGATGTCAAAGGTAATATAATACTTACAGCCAGCACAAACCGCGGCGTTTGCCTTGACAACCTTCACAAACTCCAAATTCGTATGCTGCACACATATTTTACCATATATATGACCAAAAAAGCTAATTAAAAACATTGTCTAATATATGTATATATATATATATTCTCAATAAAACAACACACACACACACACACACACACACACACAAAAACAAAACAAAACTAAACTAAACTAAACTAAACTTCAATTGAATAAAGAAATACACCTCTTTCTCATTGTATTCCTTAAGAGCTAATTCGGAAAGAGCTTTGAGGTCGTCGGCAATCTCATTCAAATTATAAAGAGGGGTTGTTGTACCGCAAGCAAAGGAGCGTGGGAACGACATCACATCAAAGCCCTGTTTGTAAAGCCCACAAATTAATAATAATAATTTAATATATAATTTAGAAGAAAATTGAGATAAATGAATCAAAGCGTACAAAAACAAAAACAAACACAAACACACACTTACATCGCTTTCAGTGATCTGTCGATTATATTCTTGGTATTCCCTATCAGTAAACTCATGCATTCCATCACTGTCATCTTCCACATCTGAATTATCGTAGTTATAGAATACAACTTTTGATCTAGGGTCTTCTTTTTCTTTTTCTTTTTCTTCTTCTGCTGATGAACAAAGCGGTGGTGGTAAACCGTAATCCTCGCACCTTTGCTTCTTTGCCGGTGAATCTCTAATCTCCCATTTGGAATCGTTCCTTTCGATGCACAGATCGGAAGCCATACACACCTTCCAGCACAGATAGTATGAGAACGACGATGAAAACCTAGACAACGAACGCGCAAGGGAACTCAACCCAACCTAAAACAAAAACAACAGACCAGACACAAAATAAAATAGGGCCGTGGCCGTGGGCTCCTTTAAATAGAATTGAGGTAAAAAAGTAAGGCAGCGTTTGTTAGAGTTTTGTAAATGTGATCTGAGAGTATGAGTTGTATTTTGAGTTTGTATATTGTGAAATTATGATTTGAGTGTAGAAAATTTGTTTAGTTATGATTTTTAAATAGAGTGTTGAAATGTGTTTTGAAGATGTATTTTGAATTAAGTTTTGAAAGTTTGATGTGACATGTGAAATAAGAAAATTTGTTTGGTGACGTGTTTTGGAAATAGTTTTTAAAACTTAATTTAATCAATAATTTATAATCAAACACACAACTCATATATCGATATCCGTATTTTTTATCAGCAATAATAACTAAACTATTTTTAAAATACTGAAATTAAAAATTGATTTTTTTTTCAATTAATTTTTTTTCAGTAATTTTTTTTGAATAATTTTTTTTTTCAAATTTTTTTTTCATTTTAAAATAAATCTATGTCAATTATTTTGTATCAATTAAATTTTCTATCAATTCATTTTTTACGCCTGTACAAACATCTTCTACCATACATTTTTTATTTTTTTTCTAAAGTTTTGTTAACTTTTGACAATACATATTAATAAAAATTAACATAAATACACTAAGTTTAATATTTTAAAATAGAAATCATAACGTAAACCTTACAAAACATTATCAATTTTTTTTCTCATTTATTACACGTTATTAATTTAGTAATAAACTCGTAATAGATTGTTCAGTATTTGTTCAGTATACGGATGTAATATTATTAAAAAATTATTAATATTATAAAAAAATAATAGATAAAAAATAAAAAGTAAAATAAAAAATAAAAAACAACCTAAACCTTCTGAACCTCAGATAATTGAACACCAGGAAGTCAAACCGGGACAACCGGCCGGTCATCCCATCTCACACCAATTCCCACTCCGTGGAAGCTTTTCAGAGAAAAAATATGAGGTTCACGTGATACAGAGAATAAATATGAGGTTCACGTGAAATTTTCAGAGACGATGGAGAAGGACATGGAAGTTTTTCAGATCAAAAGAGAAAGAAATATGAGGTTCACATGAAATTTTCAGAGACGATGGAGAAGGACATGATAGCTTTTCATATCAAAAGAAGAAAAAGGCAGAAACGTTAAAAGTGAAGAACTGAAGTACAAGCTGCCAAACGGATTTTCAAACTGTAATTTGAATTAACACGAGGAATTGTATTTTGAATGTCCTATCCAAACGTGAAGCGGGAGTTCACGTGTTGAAAGCTAATTTGAAAATACAAACAAACAGAGCCTAAAATGTTAGGGGGATCTTAAGAAAAATGTTTGGGATTTTTTTTTTTTTTTTGAACCCTCACAACACTTTTAAATTTCAATTATTGATGTATATATAGGACCTACTCATATATGTATCACACCATCAATGGTTAAGATTTAAAAGGGATTGTGAGGTCTACAAAAAAGGTCTCAATCATTATTGAGATCTTAAATAATTTATTAAATTTTTTATATGGGCTTGAGATTTATATATATGTTACATATATATATATATATATATATATATATATATATTTGAGATCTATAACATTTTTTAAAAATTAAAATAAAAAGGCCAAATTATTTAAACTTTTTAAAAATTCGGTATCCAACTAATAGGTTGACTAATTTCATTCTCTACTTACGTGTTTAATTAAAGTTGGTAATTAAAGTTGGAAATTTTGCCCCAATCGTCAAAACATTATATGCGCTTACAAACCATAGAATGCACACCTTCATGTCTTACATCTAGACCACAGACCAACCCTTTCAAAATTTTATTTTATTCTCTTGTGATTTAAGACTCCAATATAATTGAGGATGGAAATAAAATATTAAATACAACTAAATTAAAGAAGAATTTAGGTCTTGCTTGACAAGTGACTTTTTTAGTCAAAAAATCACTAAAAAAATAAAAAAGTCAACAATCTATATCAAAAAGTCAAAGATTCTTTTTTCTCCCTATTTTTTACATATCTTTTTGTAAAAAGTTAAAAAGTCATCCAAAACATACTAGTTTTTTTTAGCTCATATTTTAGACAAATAGCCAAAAAATTACTAAATTAACTTGTTCCCAAACGAGAACTAAGCAAAGCAAATAATTGTTTCTACTACTTCAGTTTATAAAGAAAAACAAAAAATTAAAAGTAAAAAAAGTAAATAGATAGGACGAGTCAAATAGGGTCATGTTTGTTTGAGCGAATTGGATAAAAAAAGAATTATAATGCAACGGACTATTAATCTTGGGATAAATAGTTCTTGGACTATTTAACTAGAAATGTGATCTATTTGTTTTGTCATGAGATTAGATGTCTAGAAAATCTCATTTTTCATTAGGAAATTATGAAGAATAGTAACTTCACAGAAGACCATTATCCTTTTGAATTGTTTGCAATGACGATACTAAATTTGAAATATATTTTATTTTTTTATTTGAAGTTTATTTATTTTATTTTATTTTACTAAGATCATTTTTAATTTTGTTTAAATAACATTAGAATTATATTTTCATTTTATGATATTGCTAATACGAAAGGGGGGGAAAAATACGAGAAGACTGATATATCATGAGATTAATTTATACATATTTAATGATGTGTAGCCTATATTTGTTTTGTCATGAGATTAGATGTTTAAAAATTACTATTTTAGTGAATCTCATGTTTGATTAGGAAATTATAAAGAATGATAACTTCACAAAAGACTATTTTATCCTTTTGAATTGTTTAGAATGATAATACCAAATTTTGAAATATATTTTTTTTTTTTGAAGTTTTTAATAATTTTATTTTTTTGGGGTGAATATTTATTTTATTTTACTAAGGCCTCGTTTGGGATGCTACATTTTTAGCCAATTAGCCAAAAAGTTACTAAATTAGCCAATTAGTCATACCAAAAAGTCAACAATTACGGCTTCTCTCTACTTTTTACACAGTTTTTCGTAATTAGTCAAAAAGTCATCCCAAACATACAAGTTTTTTTTACCTACCTTTTTAGCCAATTAACCAAAAAGTTACTAAATTAACCTGTTTCCAAACGAGGCCTAAGATCATTTTAAATTTTGTTTAACTACGACATTAGAATTATATTTTCATTTATGATTTTGCTAATACAAAAGGAAAAAAAAGAAAAAATTGAAGAAGATTATTATATATCATGAGATTAATTTACACATATTTAAAAAAAAATAAATGAAAAAATAGATGTTATGTATTATTTTTCTTTTAAATATTAGAAGTATATATCTTTTTATTATTTTGCTAATATAAAATAAGAAAAAAAAAGACTGTTATATAAAGAAAAAATTGAAGAAGATTATTATATATCATGAGATTAATTTACACATATTTAAAAAAAATAAATGAAAAAAATAGATGTTATGTATTATTTTTCTTTTAAATATTAGAAGTATATATCTTTTTATTATTTTGCTAATATAAAATAAGAAAAAAAAAAGACTGTTATATATCACATACATGTTTAAAAAAAAATTAATATGTTTTAAAAAATAAAAGAAATAAATTAGGGTCAATTTCATTATTTAACTATTTAATCCGGATATTGGCTTAATCCATCTATTTCTATCCCACACCCTCGTTGCAGCTTGAAAAATGATTACGACCCATTACGTAACGGGAACCAGTTGATACGGTTGCAATTTTCAGTCACACTGTGATACTGATGGGTATCCGTAACGGGACCTGGTTTTTCCAATATGAATCGGCTGGTACGTTACATACCGGCCGTTTTTTAAAACTATGGATACCATTGGATTACAAATCTTCAGTAATTCTTTTGTAGTTTTGCGTATTGAAATCTTAAATATTTTCTTTGAAATAATGTGATTATAGAAACCAAAACAATAAAGTATAATTTATTATTTCCACCGTCAATTTTAGATATCACTTGGGTTAATTGTACTTATTTTTTTAATTTTATTTTTGGAGTTTTGAGTTAACAAAATGTTATGATTGCATTGTTCTTTCTTTCTTTTCTTCTTTTTTTTTTTAAAAAAAAAATTCAAATTCAAATTTTAAATTTTCATTGTTTCCTCCATTTTATTTTCAAATCCCAGTTAAAATCATGTTCTAATTTTAATCTTGGGGAAGCAGTTACCACAGTTTCAAATTTCAATGCAGCTTTTGATCGGTTGGCCAAATTCCTGCACTAAAGTCAAGGATTAGGGGCTTGTTTGATTGGGGGAATTGTATAGGATTTAGGATTAAGATTATTAATTTATTAGTTACAAATTTTATTATATGGATTAGATTTTCAGGGTCATTTTATGTAGCAAAATTGACGCATTTTTTTAATGCTATGACTAATAACGTAAAACATACATATAATTAAGATTAAATATTTATATATCTATTGCAAAACAATCGTGGATAAAAATGAATTATTTATCTCATTAATTCAATTCAATTGAATGACCAATCCTACACTAATATCATAGATTTTTAATTTCTTCACTATTAATTCTGCAAATCAATAAAGCCTTGAAAATACAAAATCTTATTATCTGTGTAGTTGTTAAGTTTTTTTGTTTGAGTTTCTATTTTCTATATAAAACTTTTTTTCTCTTACTTTTATGTCTAATTGACCCTTTGGCATTATAAAATACTTGCAGCAAATTTGCGCCACGCATGGAATGAAAATTTCATAATATAATATGAGGCCCAATATTTTTTTGCCATATTAAAAAAATTAATAAATAAGCAACTTAATTATAACTGCATGGGGCCAACTAGTGAAATAAAAAAGTCAGGATTGTTTAATAGCAAGTTCTTCGAATGGTTTAGGGGAAAAAAAAAACTATTTTGCTAAAGTGTCCAAACCGATTGATGTTGAAGAATTAGCAGCAGTGATTTAGATCCCTCCAAATTTCAATCCCCACCACCTCACACACACGTGGCGGGTGGTAATTGGAGGAGAAAAAAAAAAAGAAAAAAAAATAGTGACCAATC